AAAAAAAAAAAAAAGAAAAAGAAAAAAAAAGAAAAGAAGACGCGTAAAGTTCTTTTTCGAAGAGGAATATCCGGATATCCGGATATTAGTTGCAGAGAGGTTCGAGAGGTTCGACCAAAGGATCTCTCTTTTCAAACGTTCCGTGAACATTAGTCGCGGTACGACGTTAGGGGTTTCGAAGATATAAAAAGGCATAATCGTCCTTGCCGCTAAAACGGGATTCTTTTGAGAATCGTCCTTTTCTCGTTCGAGTGAGCTCAACCGAGATATATCCGTGAGGAGGGGAGGTCGAGCAAAAAATCCGCTGATACAGAAGAACTCACCTGCAGCCTGTTCCGGGTTCTCCTTTACGTACGACAAAGGGTTGAGCAGAATGATATGGCAGTGCTTTCGCTGCTCCCACTGCCACGTTCCCTCCATTCCTCAGCTTAGCGCCCAACTCTTTCAGTGCCGACTGTAATGGAGCAGCAAGGATTTTGGTAAGTTTCTCGTTGCTCGTTTCTCGAACGATAATTGTCTCTTAATGGAGTTTAAAATATGCATTTATTCCTTAACTTAATAGATAAAACACGTGTATCTGTTGATTTAATATATTTATCTTTTGAGTTTAATACACGATATACCTTTGAACAAGAATTTAATCAATGGATTTTTGTATCGTTTGAGATGAATGAAAAGTAAAGTTAAGATTTAAACTTATAAAAGAAATTATATTAATCCAATATAAATAAAAGTATAGTGTAAATTTTATCGTTGAAATATCATCATTATATATAGTGATTGATAAAAATAAAAATCCATGGAGAGAAGGAAGAACGAAATTTATCTGCTTTGCTTCGTTTCGATATCGTCAAATTTATTCATCTTCGAGAATTCGTTAAATTATTTAAAAAATAAAAGAAGTATTTTCTATTATCATTAAATTGAACGAGAAGTTGGAAAAGGAGAGCATGAAAATATGTCGTCTTCCGTTCCTGTCGGACTTATCGCGATTATTTCTTTAAATGTCAAAGACCATGTCCCAGATAGGAAATCGAGCAAAAATTACAAGTCGGTGCACCTTTAATCCACGTCCTTTCCCCCTCGGATCGTTGCGTTTTCTGCCCACATTGGTTCCACGAACTCTCATCTTAATGGATATCGATTAACGCCGCGAGAACGACACGTCAAAGAATCAGAACGGCAGGAAGTTGAGCATAGATAAAAATAGAAATTTGTACGCGTTTTTTACGCGAAGGATTTTTATAGTAACGACGCGGTTAACTTACGAAATCTCTATGATCCATCTTCCCTCAAATTTGCAGAATCGAAGTATCGAGAATTCTGTTTCAACAACTGTTTCACAACGTCGGAACGATCTATGCACGCGTACCATGAATTTGCAACAGAATTAGTTTCCGACGTTTGTACGTCTATTTGGTTATGTGATTATAGCGGTGCTTCGTTAACTGGTCAGGATTCTGCTTCGCTAACTGACAAAATCCTGTCCTCGGGATTAACAGGCGTACCTTGTATTCCTGTTTTACTTTCGCTTCCAATGGGGGATAGATATATTTGAGATTTTCTAGAAATGTGTGTACCCGTCTCTCATAGTTTCTCCCTAATTTCCAATTTCCTAGAAATCCATCTTCATCTATAATTGACAAAATATATATCCCGTTTACAAAACGTTACCTATATGTTTTATCGAAATCGATTCCACGAATTGAGATTCAACATTTCATGGAATCGACGTCGAAAGATTTTACAAAAGATTTTACGATGATTCGATTTATTTCTCAACCGATTTTCCAATCTATGTCATTCTTATCAAATTTATCGGAGAATATAATGTAGTTGAAACCTGTCGTTGAATTTTTTTCTTTCTTGTTCCTTTCTAAAAGGAAGAAATTTTTATTACGGTCACATCGTCGATTTGCCAATGGATTTTCTACGCTATTAGGAATTCTATGAATAATGCATATTTCTATGTTACGACGATCATGGCGTGTACTCATTATTGTTCCCTCAGCCTATTAAATTTGGATTTACGCTAATGATCCGCGCTTTGTCGTGACGAGGGCCATGTCACGTTTGTCAGCAACGATGGGCCACGTTTTACTTTGTGTCGACGCGCGTTTATCGACAAAAGTCAACGCCGCCGGATGTTCGCGATGTGGCCATCATGCGCCGTTCTCAT